TGATTCGCCTGAGGGCCCCGCAATGGCGGCCAGAAAATAACAGCTTGGTCACCGACGTCAAACTCCCAAAGTAAAAGCCTCCAATGAAAATCTCAGCTCGCAGCATTAACTCCTCTTCCCATGCGTAACCACTCCCCCGATAAACTGTAGCCCCGTAGCATTTAAACAACCATACTCAGACAACGTATCCACTCCGTGTGCCCGTGCTCAAAATATAGAGGCACGCAGCAACTACACACTGAAATGTGGTGGGAATGTGGTGGGGACAGTAACGCAGCCAGTGTCCCGCAATCCGTACGGCCATACCAGCAGCAAAACACCATGGGACACAACAACATTCACAGTACCGCCAATCAGTAGCACCAAGTAGCTTGCTTAAGCAGCAACGGCACAACCGGTTTTCTCTGAGCAAGCGGTGCACTCCTCGGTACTTCTTATAGCTCAACAGGCGAGAAAATCTCTGACCTGCCAATGCTCGTGGGCCAATCACTTCCCCAACCGCGAGCGGCCGTGACCCTGACCAGCGGTCAGACTCGTAGCCCTCTGTCCGCAGTCTATAGCCTCCTGTCCGTTGCCCACATTCCATAGTAGCGCACAACAGTGGGCAACAGGCAAGTCTCCAAACCCGTATTTTGTCCCTCGCCGCTCCAACTGCTACAATAGGTAATGCTTTGGTCAAGCTGATAGGTCTGTAACTTGCGTGGCTTGTACTCACTCACCCCATACAACAGGCTGAGCAGCGCACCGGCCACTAGTCAAACAGACAACCCCAAAACCTTTCTCAGATACACAGTAACACTACTCCAATACTCAGCAGATCACGACGAACGGCTCTATCTCACGAATGCGGCCAAACTGTACCGCACATCCAAACCAAGCGGTTCCGTACGTAGTACGAACAAGAATAGAGTGGATCTCCAGTTTGATCACGGAGGCATCCGCTGCTCTCCAGCCTCTTACACCCTCTCTCACTCACTGCTGCTAACACACGGAGGTACCTGACTGCTTCATATAGCCAGGTTCAATCGTAGCTACGAGCCTCAGTTGAGGCTCTTCAGGCCGAGTGAGGGCTGTAATCGTTTAAACACGACCACGGCAAGGGCAACCAACAGGACTGTGATCCCCCGCCGCACTGTCTGTCTTCTGGCTCTGTTACCCCCGCCGCACTGTCTGCCTTCTATCCTCGTTAATCTCGCTATCCCTGTCTACTCAGCAGACTGACTCAGAGGGTCGACTGGGGACAACCACGTTGATTATGAACGAGCTTAACTACTACGGTATCAGCGGCCACGAGGAGTGACAGCAGCCTCACTCGATCCACCCCGTATCGCTGGCCCGCCTTCGAGGTAAGCTTCTCTCTCTCTCTCTCTCTCTCTCTCTCTCTCTCTCTCTCTCTCTCTCTCTCTCTCTCTCTCTGCGAACTGTAATCGCTGCGCCCGCTCGACTCGAAGTCGGGTTCTTCCTTACTACGTACCTGGCTTCAGCTTGACGGCGAGTCTCTTAGTGACACCGAGCCGTCCAACCCGAAGGACCCCCCCCTTCCTGCTGCGACCCCGGCTGCTATGTCCTCGGTAAGTTCCTCTTCTCCTTCTATGACCTTCCCGTTGGTCTCCCGATTCCCCCTCACTACTCCCATCGACAGGATATGCAGAACCGAACGAATCTACCCTTAGCGTAGGGACAAGTTCAAACCACGCTCAACAAGCTACCCTCCCGGGCGCGGCCCCTACAGATCATACCACCTAAACCACCCCACGATTCTCCGAATTTGATCCCATCAATTACCCCGCACCACTCAAAATCCCCTGAAACACACTTTAATTCGCTCGATTCCATAAAGAATCGAGCGACATCTCGGTTTTTACTCCAGTTGTCTCCAACATGTCTTGACAACTCCGAGCAACGATTCTCTCTACTAATCTCCAACCCGATAATCTCCTACTCAACCTAACTGTAGATCTGAAATTGCCCTACTAACAACTTCTACTCGCCATTTTAGCTCACTCGCTCCTATAGGGAGTCGAGTGGATTAAAACAAGCTTTGCTCCGCCATAGCTGACGGTCCGAAAGCTCAACGCGGTCTCCTTCGTCCACTAACACCTCTTCTACTAACTTTTACCCTTATCCGAGAAACCCCGAAAACGCATCTCTCCTCTCTCGATTCCACTCAGAATCGAGAGAGCTATGTCTCCACTGGCTGTTGTCAGCTCACCTCTCCGACATCCCCGTGTTCCCTGAATGCACCTTCGCACGAGCCCCGTCCAAATTCATCCGTCCTCACCACCACCTTGTCAACCTCATTCTTCTTTTCCGCCGTTCCAACAGCGTCCGCTCCACGGTCTGCCCGAAAGCTCCCTCATCTCAGGAAGGTTTCTGAGGGGCCTGTTGTTTTAGCTGACTCACTTAGTCTTTCGCCCTTGTACTGTGCCCGACGAGCACTGTGGCCAGCCGGCTCCGCTGCCAGTCCCGCTTATTGCAGATAGCGCAGCGGCTTCATAATCACGACAGACCACTCCTATTGCCCGACAGTCCCCCTCTCCGAATGAATCAGGCACGGAAATGCGCCCCATTCCATTCCCCCTTTCATTCCCGACTCCCTTCTATCGCTGCCTGTTGCCTCTCCGCCTTGCTTTCAGCCGGCTCCCTCCTACAACCCGACAGCGCCCGTTCGCTAGCCCTGCCTTGTTTCGCCTTAGCGTCACGCCCCGCTGCTGCTACCTCAGGCCCCTGCCTTGTTTCATCCCCTACTGCTGTTGTTCATAAAGGGAGGGGACCGGAGTGGGGGCATAGTGACTGGCCTATAGAAAAAGCTCGGCCCGGATGCTTCTGGCTGCCCCTTGCCAAAAATTGCCCAGCCTACTCAAGCATTTACCCACTATGCTTCGGGCCGGAACGGGCACGCCCACACCAAGAACCTCTCACGGCAGGTCGTCAGTGGCGTGTGGTAAGCTTCAGAGGGCTCGACCACCTAGGATTTCGTCTCGCCTGTGGCCTAACCACCCACCATCTCGCATGCACATTGGACTCCTTGGCCCGTATTACAAGATGGTGGGATAAATGAGTTTTGCCAGCATCCTTGAACACGCAGGGACCCATCGGGCCTGTCAAAAGAGGCGCGTGCTCATGGTCCTTGACTGTCGTACCGGCCATCTGCGTTTGTCAACGCAGCAACTGGGTCAAGCCCGTTGGTCCCGGCATCAGCCTCAAAACCAATCACTAGCAAAGACAAAATTTAAAAATAAAACGGGACACAGAACTACGTAAAACCGCGGCGTCGCCCCGCCAGGCGGCCGCGCACCCTGTCTATCATGCAGAAGTCTCACCGTTGTCGAGGTCGCCCTCCTCACGAGCGTGCTCGCATCCTGATCAAGCATACCAATCAAAAAGAAAAACATCATTTTAATCCTAGTTTAATCAGAGATAAATCCGGCCGGCGATCACGCTGGCTCTTCAATCCTCAACAAATGAAAAGATCACTTGCGCCTTAACCGCACGCCCACACACTCTTTATTCTAGTCAACCATCAGCCGCATAAACAGCAGACACTGCCGCGACTCGCGCGGTATACTCAAACTTTAAACCAAAACTATTTTCTGTCGCTTGCAAAAACCGCGCGCCCGTATGTGATCGTAGTGGACCCCACGTCCGCACACACACACACACACACACACACACACACACACACACACACACACACAGAGAGAGAGAGAGAGAGAGAGAGAGAGAGAGAGAGAGAGAG